CCAGAACTGGGACAAGCTAGATCTTCCAGACTAGCGATGCTAGACGCTTTCTAGATTGCGCTCAGCTTGACTCTAGGCGATCGAGAAGATTTTCCTAAACGGGTTCTCCACGTAGAAAAATAAGTGTATATGCACTTATTTTTCTACGTGGAAGACTTTTGAAACATATTCTAAGTGAAATTCCACTTATTCAGATATATAGAGAGCAGTGGTGTCTCCAAATTATTGCAGACTAATTACATACAAATTTTACATGGATTCAAATATATTTACAGATAAGGTTTAATGTATATAAAAAATGGGAAAAGGAATTCTATAGAAATTGATAAATATTTATTCAATTTTAATAAAGCAATTAGCAAAATGTTTCTTAAGTCAATATAACAACTCTGTTTGAAAAAAAATTACCGATTATATTAGATGTGAGAAAGCGTCAAACCATAAGAAAAAAATCTCTATGAAAGGGGAATATTTAAAAAAAAGAGCATTATGAGAGGGTTGAAAAAGTTTTATGAAGGAGCTCAATTAAGAGAGAGGACGAGTGTCAATTGTAAGGGGGGAGTGAAGAAAGATTCGGGGATGAGACACGAATAGTGAAGATCAGAGGTGGGGAAAGAGATGGTGGGAAGGGGAGCGGAGGAACTGGAAGGAGTCGAACGACTCTATTTCCGGGGTGAGACGTCGGGTACCCATTCGAGTACACATATTCACACACACACACACACAAAAACCTCGCCAAGTTTTGGATCAATACTCGCGTGACGCCGAGACGTAGCATAACAACCCATATCATACACGTGATGTATTGCCACAAAGATTCTGCGATTTCACACATCTCTCTCTCTCTCTCTCTCTCTCTCTCTCTCTCTCTCTCTCTCTCTCTCTCTCTCTCTCTCTCTCTCTCTTTCTCTTTTGATTTCCTGTGGCGATGCTTTGCCCTGCAAACAGTTGAACAAAGATTTTTGACCCTCAGGCTTAGACTTAACGTGCGAGGGAGGAATGGTCCATTTTAAATGGTGATAAGCAAATGGAAAATTGGGGTGAAGGTCATTTTTTCAAATTGCACGATAGACATACATTAACAGTCTTTTAGTCTTGATTAATTTTTTTCCAAGATCTTTAGGCTTTCAGTGGGATTGTTAAAAGAGTGCACTGAGAAAAATGTTTAGTCAGAGCAACCAAAATTTGGTTGGGCCAACAAAAAAATTTTGTTGGTATTTAAGCAACCAAAATTGCCTAATCAAACAATTTTGTTGCAAACACTAAATTTTTTTTCTCAGTGTGATAATTATTTTTTTTATATTCGTTGTTCAGGTGATTATTTTCACATTATTGTTTCCTCTTCTTCACATTATCATTATTACCATTATGTTATTCAATTAAAATTATAAACTACAAATGAAAAAACTGTATAGGAGAGCGAGGCGTATCTAATTAATTGAGGATTCTTGAGTATAACATTTTTATTGAAATATGTATATACAATATATATACAAAAATCGTTAGTACCATTTAAAAACTTGAATAATAATTAAAAATTATTTAGCATTTAAAAAGTTAATAGTTCTTTTCTATTTCTCCTTATTTGACTAAAATTCATAAATAATTTTTGAAGTTAAATGAGCAAATAAACACATATCACGTTTCAATAGGTATACTAAAGTTAATTTAAAGTGTTTTTTTTTGCATTTCAAAGATATTTTGTTCCAATTTCATATAAAATAGGAAAATTTTGCAAAAAGTCTCGAACAGTGCAATAAAGCGGAATGTAATGATTAAAATGTTTGATTTTTATTATTTTCATGAAAAAGTATATTGACTATTAACTATTATATTAAATTTTTAATACCCAAAGTACAATAGGTATTGGGGAAGTGTACCAATTACGGCGAGTGCATCAATTATGGCGCGTTCATAAAAAATAATTATTATTACTATTATATTTAATATAACTGTTGCAAAATGATTAAAAAAATTATTCTAATCTTTTTTTGATACAATTACTTACACTGAAAAAAAATTTATTTGGATCAAATAAAAAGTATTTGATCCAAATACATCACTTACTTGTCTATTATCCAATAAATATGTATTTGAACCAAATACACATTTACTAAACCTAAGTATTTTATTTTATTGTATCAAATAAATAGTTATTTGAATCAAATACAAAGTTCTAAAATCAAATAAATGGAATATTCAAAGCTAATAAATAATTATTTAAATCAATTATGAAAATTATTCCATTCAAATAAATATTTACTAGACATAAGTATTTTATTTTATCGTATCAAATAAATAGTTATTTGAATCAAATACAAAGTATTCAAATCAAATAAATGGAATATTCAAAGCTAATAAATAATTATTTGAATCAATTATGAAAATTATTTCATTCAATACTGAATGTTTTTTGATTCAAATAAATATTTATTTGTATTAATAAAATATTTTTCTTGAAACAACTAAAAATTTTCTTGAATCAAATATTCGATTATTTGTCATAAGTAATTGTTTTAATTGAAACTAAAACCTCTTTAATTGCGGCAATTATTATTTTATTTAATACAAATAATACAAATAATACAAATACATAATTTATTTGAATAAAATGTAAGAATTTTTTGATTCAAATAAATCAAGATTTGAATTGAGTAAATAACATATTTATTTACTAATTCTTCCATTTCTAAATTAAATTCTTACTCAAATAAATAAATTAAATAATACGTAATTTCTGCATACTATGATTGCATATTTTTATTTTTCAACTAATTCATATATACAATTAATGATTAAACGCAAACCTGAGAAATAAATAAATCTAACGCATGGGGGGAATCGAACCTACAACCTACGGATTATGAGTCTAACGCTTTACCAACTACGCTACGCACGTTACATAAAAACGAATGTTAACTTCTTGATGTAATTTAAACTTGCAAAAGACCTAACTCAGAAAAGTGCTTAACATCATTTAGTTAAAGTTAAGATATTAAGTTATATTTTCCAATTAAATGCAATTTATAAAATATAATTAATTATATGCTTTATGATTATAACATAAGCTTTTAGTTTAATAAGTCTTAAATTGAGTTTATACAATAGAAATGTCGAATTTTCTATTTCAAAGGTGTTTTGACTCGAATCGCGCCGCAATTAGTGCATTTTCCCAATAAAAATATAAAAAAACATAACTTTTTTGATGTTTTAAAAATTAATTTTTCATTCACTTCCGAGAATCTGCCAACTTCATTATTTTGGTACAAGATTATCGTCAAGAATTTATAGGTAAACATACAACTGAAAAAATGGACTGTTGACAGAAAAAATTAAAATAAAAATATGATGAGAATGTGAAAATGGACAAGAGAAGTTTTTAAAGAAATTTTCGTGACATGCCAGAGGAGAAATTGCCATTTTGTTGTAACGAGCTGGAAGAATTCTTGGTAATTGACTCTTCTTCAAAAATAAAAAAAAAGTAACGTAACCCTATAATATCAAACACTTTGTCTTTACAAGATCGAATTTATTATAGCCAATAACAAGACCTTTACTCGAATTAAATGATTTAGTTGGTCCAATAATTTGCACTTTTTTATTGTTCTCAGTATAATACGATTTATACCTCCATGAAGTTGGTGTCGACGCTTAGCACCGAAAATTGTTTTTCACAAGACCAAAAATGTCAAATTATTTTTTTAAAGATTTTCTGTCCAAATAATGCCTTAAAAAATACTTTTCAAGTTATTATATGTGGACCCAAAACCTTTTTAATAATGATTTGATATTTTTGATCTTGTGAAAAATAATTTTGCGACGCTGAGCGTCAAGGCCAACTTCATGGAGGTCACGATTTGTCTAACCTAATGATATATTTATTTTCAAAATTTATCAAACTTGTGTTATACTTATAGGGTTAAATAACAATTTTCTGTAATTAATATAAAGCTTTTTTAAAATTTCGAATATTATTTAATGCAAATCCAAATAAACTTCTTTTTATGCATTTATTTATTTTATATTTTACACTATATTTTATTCTTTACATTGTATTTTATTTCTTTAATTATTTATTTATTACATAACAATTAATTATAATTTCAAAAATGAGCTTAACCTGTTTTATTAATAAAAATATTCAAAATTGCTAACAAAATACTTCCTACAAGAAGAAACGAAATGATTCAAACAAATATCATAAATAATTAATATTTTAATTTTAATTATTATCCTGCAAAATAAATTAATAGGCATGACAATAGATAATACTTATATTAGTGAGACTTTTTTCAAAGAATTTTAACAGCTAAAAAGTGTTGCAGCAAAACAGCATTCTATAGGTTAATTATAAACAAAAACAATTATTTCTAATTTTTCACAACTTTTTTTAAACAATATCTAAATTTTAATATTTCTTTTCTAAGACCTTATAGAAACTGTAAATAAAAAATTTCCAAAATCATTTACCATAATAATTGGAGGCGCACCCTTTCAATTAAATTTTCTATTCATATTCAACGATATGATCCTAATTAGGAGTACAAAAAATTTCTTTTTAGTTGTATAAATGTTTCATAAGTTGGTCAATTATTTTATAAAATTTCTTGTCTTTGCCTTAGAATTAGAATTGTAAAAGAGAATTACATGGAATGAAAAAAGCACATAAATAATTTAGATAGACAGCAATTTCATCATACTCTCTAAATTTGAATCAGCGGAAAATCGCTGATTGGGCAGCTATAAGTATGCAGCTGATTCAAGCAGCGTATATACATTGATAATTAGCGCATATACACTATTTCATCAGTGTATAAAGGCTGTTTGAATCAGCTGCAAATTAGCGACGTTTCGCTGATTCAAATTTAAAGAGTATTTTTCTGGGAAGTTTTAAACTATACTTATTTTGAATGAAATATTATATTGAGCATCGGCAGGTTCGAAAATAGAAAACGGATAAATATCATGATAATAAATAAATCATTGATTTAGGGAAATACCTGTGATCAAACGTATCTTGAATCCGAGGAAATCAACTTTTGCCATTATGATTTATATCTGGAGAAAATTAGACCCTTCTTCGTTTCGACACTTGAGGATAAAATTCACGCCTTGCTGGAAAGATTCATTTATACGGAGAACGCTGATCGATTCCAGAAGCAATTTCCATGCTTGAAGAATTGCATCGGACAGACGACGACAACAACACTGAGTACTTGCGTAAATGAGAACTGTGGAAACCACATGGCCACGGGAATTGTCGTCCAAGACGTTATTACACGAGCCATCAAGTGTTTGATCAAGGAAGGTGTCTTTGGATCTTTCATCAATTCCCTCGTATTGAACAATAGGATAAATAGAATTGGACGTCAACTGGGTGCTCTTGATTTTCAGAAAGATTCTCTCACCTATCTCAATGTCTATAATTACGTTTGCGAAAAGGATTACTGGATTGACCAGTCGTAAGTATTACTATCAACAATTCGTATTTTTTCAGTTATTCCGTCAAAATCACTCTTCTTTGTTTTCAGTACTTGAATTTGTTTTTTCACTTTCGTTTCTTTATTTATTTTTCATTGAATTTTCAAACTGTTTAAGAATTCTTTCTATAATTAAAACCTTATCAAAACTTGACAATAAATGTATTCCGGTAATTAATTTCTTGAAAAATTTATAAAAGATGTGAAACGGAATTTGACGACGACCTTGCTGCAGAAGTTGGTTCTGAAGATGAAAATAGTACAGGTTTCCATGTACTAAGAAAATCAAATGACAAAATGAAAAATGAAACTGATTTTAAATCAGGTTCAGATTCAATCTCTAAAACGAAACGTAGTGATTCCGATTTTCAGAGAGAATCGACATCTTCATCATACCAAGCAAATTCAGAAGCTGAATATTTGCGAACAACAATCTCAAGAGTTCAATTTTCCTCTTGTGGATGTGTTGATGTAGTTAAGTCAAAAAAATGTGGAAAATTAAAATTACCTTGCAAAGCTGATGATTTAATCAGGAATATCTACAAAGTCCATCAGAATTTTCAACATTTTTCCTTGGTGACTATTAAAAAAAAGTTTGACCATGTTTGCTCTCAACTCAATGATATCTTAATCAATATAGATGGTAAAATCAAGTAATTTAAACACAATTGCAATTATTTTTGTTCAGAAATTTTTAATTCCTTCTCTTCTAGGTGGTACCATCAATAATTTGTGTCTTATTTGCGAAGTTCGTCCCTGTTACATCAGCTTTAAACTAAAATCCCTTTTGGGTGAAATCAGCGGTTCTAAACCTTTTCTTTTTTCTACAAGAATTGCCACATCTGAAATCACAAACTATTCTAGAAGAATCATCAATAAGAACGAGATCCAACATAAAACATTAAATCCACAAAAATTAGGAGTCAATTATTGTCAACAAAATTGTCTAGCTGTAGTATCAGAGGAAGAGGAAGAAGAACAAAAGAAGGAGAAAATCAGTGAAACTGATTCTACAATTGTAGAAAATGATTTACTTGCTTTGAAATTTTCTTCAAAAGTGTTTATTGAACCGGAAGCATTACCTAAAGCAAAAAATTTGGACGAATCAGAAGTCTTGAAGAAACCAGAAATTCCTCATGAGTTAGAAAATTTTCCTGTTGTAGAAATTCTCCAAGGGAAGGGTTTAGAAACTCTTGAGATTAGTGATTTCAGTGATTCCAAAGCTCCTAACATATATTGTCCTTGCGAAGTACTTGTTAGTGTTTCGAAACACAGTTTTTCTCAAATTGAACTGAAGCTACAAGATCTCTCAGAGTGTCTCAAGAAATTCACGTCACAAATTGAGTCAAACAAAACTCAGGAAAAGAAAATTAATACCCAACAATTGGAAAATTCACAAGTAAAATTGACTGATGTAGAGAAAGTTCTTGTTGTTAAAAACTTAAATCAATCAAATAAAAATAAAAAAAATGCAGATTCAGAATGTTTTTGTTCGGTTGTAGATCTTCAACTAGCGTTGGACTCTTCAGTCAATAAAAATCAAGAAACTAATCATATTCGAAATCAGCAAAATCAATCCGTTCTTTTAGAAAATCAAAATTATCCTGTTCCTCAGGATAGATATAATGCCAAAGAAAATTTAGATCGTGCCAATAGCCAAGAAAATCAAGAACAAGAAAACAAACAACCTCAGATTCATGAAAATTTTAAAAAATCAGAGAAATCTATGTCTAGAATTCCTGTACCCATTAGTTGTCGATCTTACTCAAAAATGAAGGATTTGAAAAAAGAAAAGTCAAATTCAAGATTGTTTTCTTGTTCGCAGAGACAATCCTCATTCAGAAGGCAATATGAATCATCAAATACATGTTCAGTTTCTAAGATTCCTGTTCTACAGAACAAAGTTTCAAAACCTTACAATTCGCAAAGAACAAGTAGATCTACAACTCAAAATATAAATTCATCGATTCCTTTATTAAATGAAAAACAAGGAACTCGATTAGACTCCTTAGCTTCTAGAAAGAGGTCGACAACTCCGAGTCAAAGATGTTCTGAGCTTTCCAGATGTTTTGCCACCAAGAGTACTATTCCAAAGTATAACCATATGGATGCGAAAACTTACAATAAAACGTCTACTAATGTTACGTTCATTAAGGTTAATGTTTCATCCACTTTTCTGTCCAAAGGAAATGTTCCTCAACCGGCAAAGCGGATTGTTCTTTGCCCTAATCCTTCTCCAAGGAGAAAAAGTTTGTCAAAAATTGACCAATGTATCTGCACTGAATCGTTTCCTTCTGTATCCAAGGTGGATCAGAAAATTTCTGCTAATATTTTGCAAAAGGAAAAACCTACCTTTGTAATTGTAACGAATTCTGAGGAAGCAATTCCAAGATGCGATTCTGAGTGTCCATGTAGAGGAAGCTTTGACATTCCTGATAGAAATCTTGTTTCTTGTTTGTATTTCGAAAAAACGGAGGAAAATTTTAAATCTGAAAATCTGTCGTGTCTAGAAACTCCTGTTGAATTAATAAAAACCCAAAAGTCATTTAATTTTCAACAGGATCAAGATAAAATAATTGTAAATCACCAAAGAGACTTACATGAATATTCTAATCTGGAATCTCAAGTAAATAATTCCTTTTCTCCGAAAAATGAAAATATAAAAGTCTCCAATATCCAACTATCTACAATAGAATCATCTGCCAAAAATCATATTGTCAAACAAAAACATTTCAATTCTTGCACTCCCACTCTAAAGGTAATGGCCGGTAACCTTAAAGCAAATACCTTTAAGGTAGTAGAAGATTGTCGCTTAAATCCTCAGTCGGGCTTGATGAGAAGTAACTGTATTTTCAATAAAAAACTTGTAAATGTTTCCGTACAGACTATGAAACAGAAGGTGCTAACTAAAGGAATTAATATTGACATAAGGGAAATGAAAGAAACAATATCGAAAGGTGTTAATGTTGTCCAAAGAGAGCCAGGGATAAAAGTTGTTAATCCAAATGTGGTCTCTAAGGATTCAGTCATTTCGTTGCAAACCAACGTCACTAAAATCATATCCATCATAGATATAACAATTTTTGAAAATGGACCAAGATGTACAAAACCAGTAGAGGATTTTTGTAGAAGAGGAATTTGTCGTGGTTGTCTGAAACGAATGTCTCCATGCAGTTCCTCTGTTTCAAAAGGTATTCTTTTCCGAGCAATATGATTTTCTTTTATATATGTATAATATATTCCTTTTGAAACACCTTTTCCATTTAGAAAGTCTTTTGCATTTAATGTGATTCTCTATAAATGTTAAAGGGTTACGTACCAAAATGAACGCGTTCAAGTAGAAATACTTTTACATAAACCTGCACAAGAACATGTACATTTTCTTGTACAGGAATGTTGAGTAAGGAGTATAGTTCTTATTACTATCATGTCAGTGAAATCTATACTAAACAGAATCATCCATTTTGGACTGACTAAACAGTCAGTTAAATGGACTATTCTGTTTACTAAAATGTAAGGGACCCTGTGGGCAAAAAACCATGTTCGTTCTTAAAACGTTTTAAGGACGTTCTTAGAACGTTTCATGTCCGCCAAATAATGTTCTGGAACATTTTAAGAACATGGATGTTCAAATAATGTTCCAGAATATTATTTGGTAGACATGAAACATTCTAAAAACGTTCTTAAAACGTTTTTAGAACGAACATGGTTTTTTGCCAACAGGGGAGGCTTTTCTGTTCCACATAGTTCACTTATTTTAATTATTTCATCTTTGGTGACCATCTTTTTACAATTATCGTTTGCAGGTTTTTCACGTGGTTTTTCTTATTCAAGTGATTCCTTAATACTCAAAAATTCTCCACGTCCAAGAGGTTTTCCAAATTCATATTATCTTCCATGTTTAACATCATCTCCACATGATCAAAATTCAGCTGATTTTTCATATTTGATTAAATCTTCAATTTCTCCTGCTTCAAGAAAGTCCTCCACTATCACGGTGAGGAATTCAAGACTCCATTTGAAAACTAACGTTGATTCCATAACTCTTGACAAACGTTGTCAAATCAATAGGGAGCATCAAAAAATTAAATCATGCGGCTGTGGAAGATCAAAGAGAATTGATTCAATTCACTACTCTTGGTTGTGTCCAAAAAGTGTGGCAAAAGCTCAAAATCTATTCAAAGCCATTTGTGAACCATTTTCGCAAAAATCAATTGACAGAATTAAACATCTGATTAGAAAAAATGTTTGTCACTTGCTTCTGAATCAAGAAGCGAATAATGGTTCAAAATCATTTGTTTCAAGCGAGCGATACTTCGTAAGTGTTTCCAGAGAGAAAACATGCTCTTCTTCTAGCGCAAATATTTCATCTTCACAATTTTCCATCACTAAAAATTCGAGACGACGTACAAGGAGAATGGCAGGGGGAAGTGACAATCCCACTTTCAGTGGTAGATATCAAGGAGCAGGGGGAGATGAAGAAAGTTATGAGATTAAGGAAGGAAAAAAACGAACGGTCTGGAAAGAGGAAGATAGAGAAAATAGAAAAATCGATAAGATACCTAGAAAGGATACGATAATTAAAAACCGAATCGAAGAAAGAGGAAGGAGTGTAAATAAAGAAATGACAGAAAAAGAAGAAATTACTTGGCAAAAAAAAACAAGTCAATGGATTGAACAAGAAATAGAGGGAGGTGAGGAAGTAGGAAGCAGAAGAGGAAGAAAAGTGAAACGAAAAGTGACAAAAATGGGGAAAGCGAAAGAAGAAAAGGGAGAGAATGTAGATATGGAAATAAAAAATTTAAGAGGATGGAAAGTAAATGAAGAAAATGCAAATCAACAAATAGGATGGCAAAAAGAAAAAAGAGAATGGGTGGCAGAGGAAGTAAACGGCGATGAGAAAATAAGAAGAAAAGGGGAAAAAAGAAGTGTCAGTAAAGTAGTGTCAAAAAGAAAAAATAAAAGCGAAGAAAAGCGGGGGATAGAAATAGAAGAACTAGTGTGTCAAAAAGAAAAACGATGGATGAGCGAAAAATTGAAAAGAGATTATGAACAAGAAAGCAAAAAAACTTATAGAAATTATATCCACATCAAGAAAGGGGAAGGAAAAAAAATAAAAGACAAACCTTTCAATTCTCCAGGTGACATGATAACTTCCTATCATTTAGGACATAAAAATGGTAAGTTATTCCAATTAAGTGTAGGCCAAAACGACGGAACTCGTGAAGGTGATGAAGAAAATGATTGCAATGTCACGAGAAAGATTCTTCAAGGACGATTTAATTTCAACAATGAGAAGGGAAAATTTTCATTACCAAGCGACAATCTTCAGAGGAAAAATCGTTTATCTCCTGAGAGAAGAGGGATAGACGAATCGTTTTGTGATTTCGAACAAAACATTAAATCCAAGTTAAAATACGTGAGTCTTTGTAAAAGCACTAAATATTTAATTAGGAAGGGTTCTAACGACTTATACGGGGTTAAGAGTCCATCGATTGCATTCATTAATGGACCAGATTCTCACTGATCTCAACCATGTCACATTTAAATGCATATTATCACAACAATAATTTTATGTAGTTTTTTGTATAACTTTTTACAAATCAATAAATCAAACTTTTTTTGCGCACAACAATTGCGGAAGTATATATCATATACAAATTATAGATTTTCGGCATTGAATAATTAATTTTCTACTCCGCCCAAAGTGTATGTTCAAAAAATTTAAAGGTATTATAGACAAATCAAGTTTATCAGTAATTTTATCTTAAATGGTCATAAAATGGCTATTCCAGCTATTTTCATGAATTTTTTTTAAAGAACCAAACATGGTAAATTTTATATTCAATCAATCAACTCTCATGAACTTAATTTAAAGATCACATTTTCGGATCATCATACTCGGCTCTAATCACTGATCTAACACAATCAATTTGGCCTTTCACCGTGTAAGCCTAACAAGATGCCCGATATGATCTTCAATGGGGTGCAATACTAAGGAATTTATTTATATATCTTATTAAATATTCTCAAAAATATTTTACATATTACAATCATTAATCAAATTAGGTACCCCTACAGTAAATAATAATTTACTAGACACGATATGATATGATGAATTTTGTTAAGCTTGCCGTGTACCTTGCAAGGCAAGTTTGCTACAAGTAGTTGAATATATAATATATATGGGATAAAATTCCCGTAGTGTACTAAGTGAAAAAAAAGTTGATCGGATTGGGCTGTAACTTGCACATAGTTTAGCCCTAGGGGTGAGTACTTTAACCACTAAGTATTTTTAGGTTTTTTCAAAAACTGTCGGAGAGGGAGGGGGTTGAATTTTTTAAAAAAATTTTAACAGTGAATTTTTGAAGACTTTTAACTTTTAAACAGAAAGAAGAAAAGAATTTGTCTTATATGTTTTCGAAAGGTTTTTTATAGGGCTCGTTGGATGCGGAATTACGGCAGCTTTCAATTGGTACCTTTAGGATTGCAATAACTTTGTTTATTTGTGAAATATTTCATTTTTTATTAACATTAATTAATTAATTAATATCTCGAAAATAAAAAAATCGGACATGTGCGAGTTACACTCGCATTAAAACCGAGGGTTCCGTACCCTTAAACCTAAAAATTAAGGGGGTTAAAGTGTAAAGGCAGGTAGAAAAATTCCAATTTTGCTTAATTTTTCCTGTAATGTGAGCATAAAAAAACATAGATAGACACATAGTCACATATAACGAAAATTATCAGTTTTTCCTTGAAAACGCTATGATTATCAACTCCAATCATGCTTACTATATTTTTTTTGTAATCTACACGTAAAAATACGTAAAAATTTATAAATTTGAATCCCTTAAGATAAAATTTTCTTCTTTTTTTATTCGAAAAATCCATCATTTTTTCTAAAAATATGAGTTTACCTTAAAAACATTATGATCATCAACTCCAATCGTGCAAGCTATATTTTTTCTGTAATCTATACGCAAAAATACGTATGTATACCAAATATTAACTGTCTTGGTCAAATAGTGTGTGTGCTAGGATGATTAAACGCTTTTTTTTAAATTTTTGATTTTTCCTTGCCAACGCTATGTAAATCGATCCGAATCATGTTCGCTATATTTTTCCTGTAATTTTCACGTAAAAATACATAAGTGTACCAAATTTGAGATCTCTATGTGAAAAAATGTGGCCAGCAGGGGGGGGGGGAAACATGCCTTGCTTCACTAGTCTCATTAATAGGGTTCCCCCTTCGGGTACGGAACCCTAAAAAGGATATCTCATTATTTTTTGTGGTACAAATACACATTTTTAGCTTTCAAAAAAAAAAAAAATAAATAAATAAATAAAAAAGACCGAACTTAAAAAAAAAGTTTGTTTTTCAAAAAAAAAAAAAATTTGAAGTTTTTGAAAAAATTTTTTCATCGTTCGAAAGAGCAGGAAAAAACCTTTTGAAAACATATAAGACAAACCTAACAATACTTCGTTTTTAAAGTACTCACCCCTAGAGCTAAACTATGTCCAAGTTTCAGCCTGATCCGATCAACTTTTTTTTCACTTAGTATACGCTACAGGAATTTTATCCTATATAATATATATTTTACACATTAATAAGCACCAAAAACAATCCTTTTATTGTAAAATTAAAGTACAAGACTTATTTTCTTAAGTTTTATATTGTTTAAACTTTAAATTATATAATTTAATTAATTTCACTCCAGCGCTAATCAACCCCGGGCCGGAGTTATTTGACGCGCTTTACACAGCTTGAAATAAAGTGATATAAAAAGAAAAGTATTAATATATATTACAACTTTCTTTTTTTTAAATTAAAGCTGAGATGTTACAACAAGTTTTCTACAATAACTTTTTTAAAAAAGCAAAAATGAGTAAGTTACACAACAAAGAGTGAAAAGTACGCCAAGTAACCCCGGTATATCTCCTACTCTCTAAATTTGAATCAGTGATAAAAGTATACCACTTATTCAAATAAGTGAAAATACATTGGGGAATCAGTGAAATTCCACTGATTCAGATTAAGAGAGTATGTTGGAAACTTACATATACTGATTGGGAATATCAATTCATGAAGTTAGATTGTGAAGAAGCAAGACTATATAGAACCAAGTAAAATCTTAGATTTCAATCGAGATTGACTGAATTTACTAGTAAAGTTTTTTTTGGTATAATCTCTTGGTCACGTGACTTGTTTAGCCTGAAGTGAGTGGAGAATATATAAATAAAAATAAAAAAAAGATTCCACGTTTGAAACCGAAATTGAGCGGAATTTAATTCGTCCCAAAGGACGATATCGAGTCGAGACCTAAAAGACACTATATAGGACGGATATAAATTACCTTCCCAACATCGCCCTCGAATCTCAATTTAGTTTATATACCTACATGGTTTTCCACAGTTTTTTTTCTTGGTTGTCGGTGAAAATAGATTTTTTCTCTAAATCCCGACTTTGAACATGTTAATGAAAAAGTCAGAAGAATTGAAATTTTTTTTTAATCAAAAACATTGAATTAATTTTTTTTAATTTTTGAAACGGGACATATAAAGGTCTTAAAGAAATTTTCAAGAAAACAACTATTCAAAGTAAATAAATAAGTCGATAGTGATGCACTTGCGCCTTGCTATATGGCTTTAAATTCTTTACTCGGGGGTTTTCAAGATCGCTGATTACGAATCAAAAATCATATTTTCAAAATTAAAAATTTCGAAACCAATATGGTGGAATAATTTTTAAAAATTGATCGATAACGCGCTTGAAACTCGTCACTTGGCGGTTTCTGAAAACAACTTTAATGTAATTTAACCGCATTTGGTGTAAATTATTATTTTCAGTTCGCCCCATTTTTTATTATGTGAGACATAATCGTAAACCATTATTATTAAGTCATCAGAATGGGACGAAATATAACCTCATTAATCAGAGGCTTCGAAGCATCGAGAGTGAGATGTATATACGGCGTAGTCATCAAGTCATAACATTCCATGAAGATGCCAAATATTTCTATAGGAGGGGTTTATGGATCAGCTATGTTTCTATCCATAAAAAGGGCAGAAAAAGAAATGCTCCGTCATCGATGACAGCTCGAGGCCATCGCTAGACGTTAGGAGTTAACTCGCATTGTTGCAAACACAGAGTCAGCATTTAGGGGTGAATTGTGGGGGAGGAGGGTGGGCCCTCCACGGTTGCCAGGAAATATCGATCCAATGAGGGGAACGTGGATGCTGCTACTGCTTTCGTTCAATGGTCGGCGGCCTTATCTTGACTTTGCTTGGACCGCTCGTTCTCGTCGACGTGAATACTTTTTCTTCCCCTGGCAAACAACTCAGATTTCACTGTCGTTATCGTTGAATCCACTCCCACCACGATAATTGACGAGTTTTCAATCTCAAAGGCTGCGCGTTTATACATGTCGTAGGCGAATAGAAGTATGCGTCGTTTAGCTTAATGCCTAGGCTTTAAGCTAAACGCTGGCGAATAGAAAAATATACACGAAATAGATGCTTATTTCTTATTAGACTGGATTCATTTAGTCGTTTAGGTTAATGTCTAGGCATTAACCTAAACGCCCAAAGCGCGTCAGGCGAATAGAAATATCAAATATCTTATTATGAATTAGAATAAAAGACTGCAAATATTTTTCTCATAACTGCAGTAATAATTTATTATTATTAATTATAGTCAAATATGCACCACACTTATCATCGATTAAAATACTTTTTACTTTTTCTAAATGCTTTCTACTCCACATACACCGATTACTAGAAGTTTTATCACATATGCCTCTTTACATTTTTTTCAAATTCTTCTCTAATTACCGAAACGTTTTCCATTTTCAACAGAGAAAAATTCGACTCTCACTTGAGTGAAGCAGAGAGAAACTAAATTTTGTTTTCAAATTCTTTAATATTAATTTTAAAAGTGAGTTTCAAATAATCAAATTATTATTTCAAATGAGAATATTCAAATACAAATAATACGATGTCAAGTTTCATATAAAAAATTGCTATTATTTTTTTTTACGTTTACAGTACTGCTAATCATACGTCATAATTTGGTCATAACCTAAAAACAATTTGGAGAAAAATTTGAATAGTCATTCTCGTACCAAGTGTTACTTTTTAAATGTTGTCGAACAATAATTGTAATAATTATTAATTATAAATTTTGAATTTTTTATTGTTTTTTAGCATAAAAAAATCACATTTTTAGTCGCTGTGTAAGTATAAATGCGCATGCGTATAGCTGACACAACTTATAATCAGTGTTGCCAAAATCCACGTTTCATAAACTTAAATTTTTGTCTGTCCCAGTGTTGAATGTCCCACTGTTTAAATTGAGCAATCGCAAGAAATTATTTAAATAAAAATTGTTTGTGAAATTTTAAAATATTTTAAATTATTGGATATTATATTTAAAAACATGAGTAAACGAAGTAATAATTACACTTTTTTTTAAAACTGTCCCATCTATATAAAAATCAGCATTGTATTTCAAGAAAAAAATTACTCCGGAACGTCAAAAACAGTTTTTTTCAATATTCTTTGTAAATAATGAATCAATGTGGCTAAAATTTTGGGAGATAGCGTGTTGTCATAAACATGGTTTACAAATAAATTTTGGTCGAGTTTCTTTAAGTAGTTTTTCAGAAAATTAAAGTGTCCTACTGTTTAAACTGTCCCACTCTTTGTCACTCTCCTCTATACACTTTTAGAAGTTACTTATTTTATTCAATTTTCAATTACGGTAACTGAAATTTATTTTTAAACATGTAAATCACTGCAAAAACTGGTGTCTTATTTTAACCCTAAACAGCGCAACATAGCAGGCTCATAAGTGGAAGCACATCTGGGGTAGAAAACCACCCCAAAATTGTTTTGTTGCTAGAATGTTCATAGTTCAGGCAAAATAACTTTATTATATATAATTTTCTTAATTTTTTTATAAGGAAGAAGATAGCGTTTTTTGTTATTTGATAGGATCAAAAATATGGCCAAAAAATTTTAAAAACCACAACAAAAAACACAAAATCCGCAAAAAATACCGCAAGACACATACTCTCTAAATCTGAATTAGTAAAAATGTTTACTAATTTGAATTAGTGACTCACTTTTTGCTTCTGAATTAGTAAAATTTATTATTAGTAACTTTTACTAACAATTAGTAAAATTTTACTAATTCAGAAGAAGAAAGTGAGTCACTAATTCAAATTAGTAAACATTTTTACTAATTCAGATTTAGAGAGTAGAAAACGTCTTAAAGTTGTCCCAAGTTGTCTTATTGGTTAAGAAAATATCTAAATGTAAGACGTTCTGTCGTTGATCGAAATCTATCTATAAAATGATTTAAAAATTCAGGAAAAAAGTGTCTTAGAACGCGAAATCCCCTTTGGAGTCAAGTGAACAGAAAAATTTAACTTGACAGCGGTTTTTTTTTTGGTTTTTTACAAACCCTGATCTATCGTGGACATTTCGTAACAAAAATTAATGAACATAAAATTTCAAAAAATAATGTTGTTGCTATTCATGGTAGTACATTTAATCACGGATTGGATTGAAATAATTTTTTGACACTTGACAAAGAAAATAATTTTAATAAACGACTAATATCTGAGATGATTCATATTAATTTGCAAAAAAATTCGCTTAACAAAGAAGATGATATACAAAATTTAAATAATTATTATACTCATTTTCTCAATGAAAAGACATATTCACAATCTCCTATCTTATTTTGATAAGGACTATCAATTAACCTTCATATTAATTTGAACAAGAACGCTTGTTCTTCGTTCGATATTCCATAAAGACATCACAGAAAAAACCTAGTCTCTTTTTTGCTGCAGTTCAAAATAAGTCAATGCTAAACGACATAGACAGTGCGGCCACCAACCTGACTCATATTTTTGCTGCTATTTTTGCTACTCATTTTGAGTTCAGGTATTTACTGTGATTTTGTTGACGCATGCACACTAATTTAAAAGTATCAAATTGATAGCGTTGTCGGCTAAACAGAAAATTTATTCCGTGTATAATCTGAATCCGATGTATGTTTTTCAACATTCAAAATATAATTCACTGTGACCAGATAAACTTTCAAAAAGTATGTACATTTTGAATTTTGTGGAACTGACATCAAATTTTTATCAATGTGGAAACCATAACTCCGAGTTGTGATCTTTAATTGAGACAACTCAAATATTTGAATCGATTATTGGATATACTAAATTGATTGTAAGAAAATGGGGTGGTACAAAACATTTACAAATAAATACATTTGAGAATGTGAAAAAATTAACTTTAGTAACGTTACTAATCTTACTAACGTTAAACTAACGTTAGTACCTATTAAAAAATTAAGAAAATGTTTCTGAAATATATTTTCGCAGAAGCTTTGCGAGAATCGATCATTGATATTAGTACTATCCAGTATCGGATTTCTAACATGAATCCAGTATCGATCCGTCATCAGTTAAATTAAACAACATAAAAACAGTATTGGAGAACCAACGTGAAATTGAAACTTGTCCAATATAAATTTTGTACTGCAAATCCGCAGTAATCGTATATATTTTCAACATGAATCCAGTACAGGTCCAATATTGGTTCCTTACACACTAAAAAATAATACTTACTTTCAGTTCACTTTTGACTAAAACCGTTAACATTAGAACTATTTTTGCCTTGGGTGTATGATTTTAAGTCCTAAAATTGACTTAATTTAGTTTTAAGATAAAAATTACACTAGTTTCCAGGCATTTTAATTTTAAGTTGTTAACGGTTTCAGTATCTGGAACTGATACTGAATTTCGGTGTCAAAATCCATAGTATCAGTGTTCAGTATCAGTATCCAGTGTTCGTCCTACTTAATTTGCATTGTTAATTCAGTACTAATATTCGGTACTGGATTACGATATCAGTTTGGTGTCGGTCCGACTAGTCAGCAAACCCTATACCTATGGGCAGAGAAGCATCCTCTCAATTTTTGGTTAACTTCTCCGAAGAAGTCAACCCGAAATGGTCAACATTGTGGTTTCCAAACTTATACCGCGATATCCAATAAATTTTTGGTTTCTTTTTGTTTAAAACTGAAATAGTGAAAATAGTTTACCAAAAACTGGTTTATGAACTTATATACCGATGAAATATGCACAGTAAAACAAAGTCTTAAACCGTTTACACCTTAAATTAAGCCCATATATTTTGCATAAGTCTGTCCTTTTTTAATTGTTCTGACTCCGTTTACACCTTAAATTCAGCCTCAAAAATAGGCTGAAATCAAGATTTCTTTTTTAGTGTGTGGTGTTATTTTCCTTCAACAAAACTAATTTGAAATAGAAAACACCAAATTGCAAAAAAATCAATGTTTTTTTACTTAGATCACTAAGCTTTCTGAAGTTGTATTCAAAATATAAAAATTAAGAATTAATAATTTTTATAACAAATTAATACAGAGTTAAAGAATTGAATATATAGACAACTTTTTATGCATACACTGCAAAAAGAAGTATCTTATTTTAAGATGTTTTGGTAGCGTTTTTAAGACATTCAAATGTTTAAGATGTCTTGATGTCTTGAAAACGCTACCAAAACCATTTCAGGTTGACTTTTTCGAAGAAGTTAACAAAAAATTAAGAGGACGCTTCTCTAAGAACATTAAATATACTTTCTGGTGATCGATTCTCGCAAAGTTTCTGCGTAAATATATATTACAGAAACATTTTCTTAATTTTTATAATAGGTACTAATGTTAGTAACATTAGTAACGTTAATTTTTTCACTTGGGTGTTTACAACTAATTCTCAAAAAAATAAAAAAAATCTATATACAATATAGCATATAAAGTACACAGAGAGAAATGAATATAATGCGATTGGCGACTGTCGTACTTTTCTTATGTCTAAATTAACAGTTTAGTTAATTTTCGACGGACAGATTTAACAGTGGAATTATGTGTATAGAAGAGATGGATAATTTCCAGTAGTGTATTTATCGTATATCTATATCTGTCACTTTTATATTTTTTCTAACTATATTAATTAATATAACAAATCGTAGTATAAATAAATTGAAATAATTAAAACAAAAAACAGATTTGATCACTATGTCAAATTTAAGAGATTGAAGAATATTATTTGCAAAAGTAATATACACTCTAAATCTGAATCAGTGAAAATTTCACTTCACTGGGAATCAGTAAAAACCACTAATTCTCAGTGAAATTTCACTGGTGAATTAAAGAAAACTGAGCCACTGATTTAAATTCAGTGAAATTTTCACTGATTCAGATTTAGATATATATTGTATCAGGTTCATTCAACTTTAAATAAAAATGTCGAAACGAAACAAACATTTATTTAAACGAGGATTTTTATTTTCCTCTTCAAGATCTCCACATGGCTTATAATACAAATACTACAGATAAATTTGGCTCACTTTATGACGATTATTATCACAGGGGCGAAAAAATAATAATTTCTGACGGCAGGTGAACGAATTAATTGTCAAAAAGGCCTCAAGCAGGCAAGCTCCGCCTGGGGTCGATCCGAAAACGGTACGCCTGCAGGAGGTTGGCCAGTGATATCGATGCGCTGTGATATCGGACCAATCAGAGTGCGAGCTTTTACGCGACGCCGGCGCCTAAAACTATTGCAACCAGCTCAACTCTAGACGAGGAGAAACAGGACGACGTTAAAACGTTCTCCGTCGCGTTCCCCGCGCTTTCGAACCCGCTTTGCACCTTACGCGATCTGGACTTCATTATTGGTGAGTGAAATGTGATCGAGATCCTTAAAAATATTTGCTCCTAATTTTGACCTCCCCTACCTTCCCTCACTCCCTCATCCTCTTTATCCTTTCTCCGCCAAATCTCGTTATTTTTTGGATTTCCTTTTCCATTGAAAAGGGAATTTCCCCGAAGAATGTGTGCAATCAGTTTCGGAATAAAAAATTATTTGTTAAATTGTTGGTGATTTTGTTTTCAAAGTGTTGAATTTTTTTCTGTGGCAGTGATAGTATCACTCGGATTTAAACCACTTTTTGTGTATTATGGAAACATAATTTGTTCCATAAAACAAGATTTTCAGGCGAAAATCAAATTTCTAATAGGATTAATGCTCCAACTTGAGATGAAGACCTTGTTAATTATTACATAAGAGGAGCAAATTTTGCCCATTTAAATGTTAAAATTACTTGCAAATTATTGTTTTTTAAATTATTTTTCTCATGATTTTGATACATTATTTAAAATTAATTTTCCATAATTTAAAAATTTTTAATATATTATACATTAAAATAATGAATTTTTTATACAAGTTTTTTTAAAATTAATATTGATATTTTCTAATAATCAAATTTGCAAAAAAAAATTTCAAGTCTTATTTTTTAAAACATAATTTATAATCATTTTTGGTACAAGCATTAATGTATTTTGTCAGAATTATCTTCTATTCATGTGCGAATTGAACCAAATTTGGCGCAAGACTCTTTCTTTTACTTTTGTTGAAGATCAATAAGAAGAATAGTCTAAAATTATTAAATAATAAATGAGTGCAAAAGTTTTAATTACACATTTAAAAAATTTTTTAAATCAATAATTTTGTCCTGAAATATTTTAAATATAAATTTAAGAAAATTAAATGTTAATTAAAAAATAATTATACAACGTCTACCGCATGTCATGTTCTGTTCATTTAAATTAAATAATCTATTCTTTTATTATTTTAGTCAAAAAATATACTATTCTTTTAAATATTATTTATTTTATTATTTTAAAATACATGTACATTATAAATACCCTAGACGTTGCTATCTTTATATATGGGTCATCCATAAAGCATGTGATACTTTAGAGGGTGGGGACGTATCAGGAAAATATCACTCTTCATGTTAAAAAGATGAATAGAACATGAAAGTATCACGGTCGGGAGGGGGAAGGGGTGTCAAATTTCCGAAAATATATATCACATGCTTTGTGAACGACTTAATATATAGTAAACTGTTGCTAAAAATTAGGTAGTAAATAAAAATTAAATAATTTAACGGTGAAATTATCATTGATTTATAATTTCAACATTTGTTTACTTAATGCTATACAAAAGCGATACATTTTGAAAGATATAATACCTAAATAAACATGGAGGGGGTCCTTTATGTTTATTTCATAAAAATTTTGCTTCCTCATTGTGTGAAGCAAAAAATTTGCTTCCTCGTGGAGGAAGCTATGAATTTCTCCTATTCAATTGATTGATTTAAAAAATTTCGAGTTGAAAACTGTTTTAAATTAATTAAATTTTTTGAAAAAGTAAGAAAATTTTAATTCATTTTGGGTGTAACATATACTTTATATATACGAATCGATTCGTTTCAATGCAAGGAATACAATTGTTTTATGTATTAACTTGCACGGAGAAAAGAGTTGTAGTGCATTCGACTATTATGCGTTTAGGAAGAAAAATTGAGTTATGAGAAATGAGTATTCAGTATAGGTTACTATACAGCTTTTATTTTTTTCGTGTTGATTGTACTAAACAAAGTAGTGAAGATGAATGTCTGCTTAGTTAAGTGAACTATACCAATAATTGTCAACCTTGCAATCGGTATATTTTATATATTAATCCATATATTTTTAAAAAAGACATTAAAATATTATTCACTTTACTGCTTGGGTTTTTTTAAAAATAAAATTATTAGATTAATTTTAAAAGATATATTAAAATCAGTTATATTGCACATTTAAAGAATAAAATGAAAAAAAATTAAGGTTAAGTAGCATCAATATTTTTCAAATCTTTCTATACTTATTTATGTTATAATATTTTTTACGATATTGTCACGATTATAAACATTTATTCTTTACTTTTTATTTGAAGATAATAAATATATTTTCTAAAAACTATGAAAATAAATCCTGTAAGCTTTTCATTCTCCTAAAGTATTATATAAAAATACTTTTTATACTAATTTAATATTTTAAACCCACCAATCCGTATTTTTTATAAAATTCTTTTTGACGATTTGCACCATGATAACCATATAACAAAATCTTGGAAAATACTGACTATAAAATTTGAAAATATTATTAACAACACAAATGCGATATTTTTATTGAATCATAAGAGGTTAATCGTTAATGTTTATTTAAATAAATTATAAACAAAGTTGTAGAGATGACAGTTTATTCTGTGTACGTTACTTAACAAGTGAGTAATCGTGATAAATAAACGGACGTTTAGTGCATCTGACAGTTTGTTTTGTTAATTGAAAAAGTCACTATATTGTTTAGTAACCATGACTGCAGGTTAAGTATGAACCACTATACTCTTCTCTCCGTGTGAATATAAAGAAACACAACATTTTTTAGTTAAAATATAAATGTTCGATTTTTTAATTTTTATTAATTCTTAAAATTTAAATCAAATCTATACTTTATATATATCAACCAATTCGTTTCAATGCAGGGAATAAAATTATTTCATATATATAAACATAAATTTAAGAAAACAACATTTTTTAGCTAAAATGTGAATTTTTGATTTTTTAACTTTCATTAATTCTTTAAATTTCAATCAAATCTATACTTTATATATACCTACCGCAATCGATTCGTCTTGACGTAAGGAAGACGATTATATTATATATTACCTTAAATTTTTCTATTTAAAAAATTTTTCAATTACAAATAAAATTTTGGAAAAAGGACGATAAAATTTTTTTTTTTGGGTATTTTTAAAAATCCTCTTGTCATTTTTGAAAGATAAATGTGATAAATAAGCCTACCAAATTTTACCCAAATCCATTAAAACCTGTTAAAGATATTTTGTTCACAAAAACGATTCACACACACATACACACACATACATACATCCGGACTATTGATCAGGATCTCATATGTTTCTATATAGAGGAAAATTTGTTTTCACCATTTCTAAAAATTTTATAAACGAAAGGACTACAAAGCTTCCTCCACGAGGAAGCAAAATTAGTTAATATTCTTTAAAATAGAAATAAACATAAAAAATCTACTACCTATATCTTATAAAGCTTAAATATATATATATAAAAAATATATATAAAACATAAAATAACCCAACCGGGACTTTTTTATCTATTCAATTGTTGGAAAAACATTATTATAAAGAGTTATGGATTATTTTCTATATTTTCGAACAACAAAATATTTGGTATGTAAAATTTTTGTTGAAATAAATAGAAGAATTTAATGAAATACCAAATAAAAATTGCGGAATTGTGTAAAAGGCCATTAGAACTGTGAATATCGCAAAATGTCATCTCCCCTTTGGAATAATTGTCCTCCGGTAATGTATTTCTCGCAATCAATTCAGCGCTATCCTTTTGTGGGCACGTGTCACGATATGCCTTTTGTCTGTTTCGTCCTGTAATTTTGATATTACTTTTTCAATAGACATTGTTCAGAGAAAAAAAATTATATTACATTTCCTGAGAAATTTGAAGAAGAATATATTCTTGTTCAAATTTTAAAATCTTTCAGTTATAATTGGAAAAATAACAGCTACTTGATTAATAAATTAAAATTATTGAAAATTTATGCCCCAGAGATTCTAAAATTTTTTTAAAATTGTTAGTCTAAAGATTCAGAAAATAAACTTTTTAAGTAAAATAATTGTTTCATTTAAAGTCAGTTTTCAGAAATTCAAAATGTCGGTTCCAATATGGCGGACATCAAATTTAAAAAATTACTGGATTTGAAAGAAACGTGGTATTTAGCCAACACAGCCATTTTAAATTTTGGAAAATTGACTTTAGATTCGTAATCAGTGATCCAGAAAATCCTTGAATACCATGCTTCATTAAAATCCACTAATTTTTTAAGTTTAATGTCTGCCATATTGGATCCGTTCGTTTGAATTTTCGAAAACTGATTTCAGATTCGTATTCGGCAACCCCGAAAATCCCCGAGTAACAAATTTTTCGAAAATTCAACGAAGCGAAAGTAGTTTTGTCCAGCTATATAGGTTCGGATTTCAGACCACTGTGCGCCTCCCCAAGTAACACGTAATATTACAGTTATATTAAAATGTCCGTCTCATGGTGATATTACCGGTTAATATGACTGTAATATTACGAGCCAAATGGATCTATAAAGGATATTTTTCGGATATCTTCACGACATTCTACGGATTTCTCCAGTCGTTCTATGGATATCCTCAAGATATTCTACGGATATTCTTATAGTACGCATGAGTCAGAAATTATGAACTGGTCCTCCATTTTACCAAATGAGTTTTAGTATTTTAGAAGTGATTAAAGAATTATTGTTTAATATTTTATACAATTATTAATTAAGTGTTATTATTTTTTTATTTACTACATATCCGGAATCAAAGAGGAGGGTGTCGATGTCTTTTTTGAGAAACTGTTAACGTATAGTAATCAAATTTTTTCTGATATTATCTGATTATAATGCGGACCAGTTCATAAATTCTGACTTAAAAATAAAAATTAAGAAAACGGATCAGAATTTTTTCCACTATTATGTCCAGAAAAATCCAGATTTATTTAATCTAGAAAAAATATTATTATCTTCCTAATTGCGAAGTACCGTAACCTATCTATCTCAGCAAATTTGATCCTAAAAATATTCTTGACAAAGAAAAGCGCGTTGTGTGCCATGATGGTTCTTTCCAGTAGCCGTTTTTCATCCACTGCTGATTCTCCCTGGCGAATTCGCGGATTAAGCTTGAAGAGGGTTCCACTCCAAATAAACAGCCCTTGCTCCTAAAGCCACCCCCAACCCTTAGTTCCGTTAAACACTCACACAAACTGAAAGAACACTCCCTTCACTCCCCAAATACACCCGTTAAAACCATGAAAGGGGATCTTCCACTGCTCTCAAGAATATTGGAAAGTTGTCGAGTTTACGAGTAGACCATTATGTTGATCTTCATCCCTATATAGAAAAAAACAAAAATTGTGTTTATTAATTTCATTCCTCCATTACAATTTTTTATATTGATTGTTAATTATATCTACTTGGCCCTTTGAATTCGAAATTCCAAAAATTTTATATTACAGTGCCGTCTTAACCCTTTATAATGTTCATGCATCTACTTTTAGTCAGTAACCTGACTTTTCGTACTCTCGCATGGGAAAGTAGGCACTGGGATGAATGTATAGAAGACCTAATACTATTTAATTACACATAAATCAAACATTATTACCTAATTAATAATTTTCAATTCACATGCTATGTCATTTGATTCTTTTAATTATTTAGATAAACTGGACCATAGGCACGTTTATTGTCAGTTCTCATTCTGTAACTTATATTACAGGGGCTGCGAAGTAACAACGTGATAGCAAGATAATTCAAAACAACCCCAATAATTGGAAAATGTCCGGATTTGCGTCGACGGGTTTCGCGGCACTTAACTCTTTAAAGGGAAAACTCGCAGAGTAAGGAATATTTATTTATTAATTTTAATTGCTTTTCCATTTTTAATTTTCAAATTATTCTGGATATAAGAGATATATCTGATTTTGTCATAGACAATAATTACATCAGAATATAATCTCTATTTAGTATTCAAAATAAGTATTCAAAATAACTTATTGTTATTAAAGAATACTTAATTTAAAATTGTTACAAATAGAAAGTAGAATGATGTTTTAAATAACAAAAAAACAAAAAATTTCAGAATTTAGGTGAAATAATTTTTTACAGATACCGGCGAGATAATGCAAGCTATCATGAATTTGCCATGTCCGGTGATAGGAATAGAGACAATAAAGGATTCGAGGATGAGAGGGGTTACAGTAGACACGCTTCTTTTGACTCAATACCAGAACCTGAGAGACCTCCTTTACGACATATTGATACTTACATCAAACCAGAATGTCCCTGTTTGTCTAAGAGGTACACGGTAGCAGTTTTAGCTTGCACAGGTAAAGACATTCACAACTTTACTATTCAACGTAATACACTACCAAATAAAATAGAGTACTCATAAAATATTTAATCCGAAAATAATTTTTCTAAACATTATTTTTCAACGTAAACCGAAAGAAGTAATAAAGAATTTTTATAAAAACAGGTTTTATAATTTCTTTTGGAATGAGATTAAACATGAGTACAGCGAAAATAATCCTAAAAAATACAACTGACAATACTGAAGGCATGAAATTTAATTGGTCCATTAACACCGAAAGTGCCATGGACTCGTCTTTTTTTTGGGGTTATCTAATAACTCAAGTACCAGGGGGCTTTTTAGCTTCTCTATATCCTGCAAATAAAGTATTTGGACTAGCAATTGCGACTTCATCATTTCTAAATTTATTGGTGCCTGGTGCATTAATGGTGAATCCTGCCATGGAAATGTTGACGCAAGTCGGCAAAGGATTGGTTGAGGTACGTCAGTCTTTATAACTATTAATAATGCTTTGAATGATTATCTATTAGGTATTCCGAGAGTTATAATCTCCTCAGACAGATTTCATAATTCCTTAAGTACTTTTCTTCAACTTCCTTTCTTGAAAAAAATAATAATTTAGATAAATCTTTATCTTTCGGTCTAAGATGGTGTGAGAATATATTTTTATTAACAGTTTAAAGTGAATCTCATATAAATTCAAATTATTTAACAATAAAGGACTAAAAAGATTTTCTCTGCAGTCCATTAACGGTAATTTATTTAAGCCTGTATATTGAGGTCACCTATATGGTGAATGTTTTTTGTATGAGGAGCCTCTAAATTGACAATTAAATATAACTCAAGATCTTCTTTTGATATAAGATACTCTTAGAGCACCTGAAGTTGCATTAAATAAAAAACATTTCCTCAAAGGTGTCTGTATTTTTCCAACATTGGAATTTTGCCAATATTGCTGGAAGTTTAGGTGCTGCATGGGTGTTTATGAAAAATGGGAAATTGACGTACTAAAATCATGAGGTAGTTTATCATTTTGGATAAAACCCGCTTTAAATCTGTAACTTCATTTAGAAGTTATGTACGTAAATTTTACATTAACTCATAGCAATATAAGTTTTATTGGAAGAAATAACAAAATTACAGGGAGTAACATATCCGGCATGTCACGGTATTTGGAAATATTGGGCTCCACCACTAGAAAGATCACGTTTAGCAACTCTTGCATTTTGTGGATCTTATGCTGCAATGGTTATAGGAATGCCTCTATCAAGTATTCTCAGCTCAGGATTAGGATGGTCAGCATCCTTTTATTTTTATGGTAAAGGAAATTTACATACATAAACATAAAAAAAAATTGTTAAATATTTTAGTATCAAAATCTATATAAAATTGAGGCATTAAATTCAATTTCACGAATGGAGAAGTTTAAAAAAAATTAATATTGTGTTTCCTGCTATGGTTTTTAGGGTTTGCTGGATTGATGTGGTATTGTTTATGGTTGTGGTTGGCGTTCGAGAAGCCTTCATTACATCCTTGTATTTCGGGGAGAGAATTGAAATACATCGAGGATTCATTGGGTCAAGGACAAGGTCAAGCCGTCTTACCAATGCCAACATTTACCACGACACCTTGGAAAAGCATTGCCAGGTCGACTCCAGTCTACGCTATCATTGTCGCTAATTTTTGCAGATCCTGGAATTTCTATTTATTGGTGCTATTCCAAAACCGATTCATGCACGAGGCATTTAACATGAATATAATTGAGGTAAAACAATTAATCATAATCATATTGATAAAAAAAATATTTATAACATGCTTCTCACATTCTACTTTCATCCCTTTACTATTTCCGTATCGTGTTCTCCAATTGAATTGTTTTTTTAGACTGGTTTCGTGGGCTCGTTGCCCCATCTTTTGATGACGGTCATCGTACCCCTTGGTGGTCTGCTGGCGGATCATCTTCGAAAGCGAGGAATTATGACCACAACAAATGTGAGAAAGCTCTTTAATTGTGGTGGTTTTGGAATGGAGGCACTTTTCTTTTTGGTAGTCGCCAATGCAACCACCAAAGGCAGCGCTTTAGCAGCAACCACGGGTTTAACAATTGGGGTTGCCTGTAGTGGATTCGCAATTTCTGGTTTCAATGTCAATCATCTCGATATTGCTCCCCGTTACGCAAGCATTCTGATGGGACTGTCTAATGGAATTGGAACAATTGCTGGGCTGCTTGTTCCTATTTTTGTGGATCACATCACTGAAGACAAGGTTTGTATATACTCAACCTTTGAATTAACCATTAAATCAATTGAATAGAGGACAATTTCTGAAGTACTATCCTGACAATATGAAAACTAATTGCTTTTTAGAAAAAAGAAAGTTGGGTGAACGTATTTATCGTGGCGGCTTGTGTTCACTTCTTTGGAGTAGCTTTTTACGCCTTTTTCTGTTCTGGAGAGTTGCAGCCATGGGCGGATCCAAGTTTAGAAGAACAAAAAACCTGGAATCCTTTAGGTGAACTAAGTCAAACTGGGCCACCAGTTCGACCACCACCAGTGACGATGCAGTCTGAATTCATAGTAAAGAATACTTTTTAACATTATATTACATTATTATTAACTTCTTTTTTTGAAAAATTTAGCCATTCTTTCTATACTCAAGTATTTTTTTAGGTAGATATACACTGCCGCACAATAATATTTGCCCACCTTACAGCATATAAAGGCTTTACAAAAAGTTTTGTATCTTTAATTCTAATACAGATATAATCTTCGTCAAATATTCATCTTAGAGCTTATATATTTGACTTGAACGATACAAAAGAGAAAATTAAAAAAAAATTTCATTGTTTAATTGTTTAAAATGAAAAAAAAAATTTCCATTTTTTTTGTAAATTTCAAATTGATACACTTTGTGAAGAAATGATCAGAATTTAATTCTGAATACGGCATTTGAAAGCATATTTCATCACTTTTCCAACGCTTTTTTGAAATTTTTCTACGATGATTTTTGAGCAAGATATGACCATTTGTTTACAAAAATAACCCTTTTTTCAATTGTTGATAAACTTATGAATAATTGACTTTTGAAAAAAATTGTTTAAAGAAAAAATGTTCCTTATTATGTGTAGAATTAGGAAAAAAATATTTAAAAATTTTTTAAAATAATTTTTTTTCGCCTTATTTTAACATTATATGTATATTATTGTGACAAATATATGAGGTCAAAATGAGACGAAAAAAAAATATTAAAAAAAAATTTTTAAATATTTTTTTCCTAATTCACACATTAAACTTTAGCAAAATTGACTATAGATACATGCGATATTAACCAAACACCTTAGTTAATATAACTAGAAAACAAGGGGTCAATTCTACTAAATCGACTTTGACAATATTAACCAAGATACATATCTGAAGCAAGCAGCCCGATATATCCCCTGAATATCCCTTGAATACCACCGTGGAACACTGAGAAAAAAAATTTAGTGTTTGCAACAAAATTGTTCGGTTAGGCAATTTTGGTTCTTGTAACCAAATTTTGGTTGGCTGAAACAAAGTCGTAGAGTTATCTCAACTAAACATTTGGTTGGGCCAACAAAATTATTTGGTTGAATATTTTTAAATTCCAACCAAAATTTGGTTACGACAACAAAATAATGTGGTTAACACAACAAAAGAGTTTGGTCTAAAAAACCAAATGATCGTTTGTTGTCCTAAACCAAAATTGGGTTGCGACAACAAAATAATTTGATTTGCTCTCAGCTCATAACTTAAGGCCAGGTCCAAGTCGAGTCAGCTGTTCCATTGAAGTTTCAATGGAACAGCTGACACGACTTGGACCTGGCCTTAAGAGAACAGTTAGTTTAAATCTCTCATAAGAATGGGTAGTCCAGTGGTCAGAGCTCCCGATCTTCAGTTTTAAACAGAGGTTCAATCCCAGGCGGAGATGAGATTTTTTAATGTCCACAAATATTTCAATTGGATAAATATAAATTCAGTGTTAAATTGATAATAAATAAATAATGAAATAAATAAAAAAGATAAAAAGAAAACAAATAAGGTCAAATAAAATTTTTAATTTTACAAAAAAACTGTTTGTTTGATAAACCAAACATTTTTGTTGACCTAACAAAAAAAATTTGGTTGAGCTAACCAAACATTTTTATTATGCCAACAAAAAACACTCAACCAAATTTTATGGTTGAATCAAACAAATAGTTTGGTTGCTTAAATACCAACAAAATTTTTTTGTTGACCCAACCAAATTTTGGTTGTTCTGACTAAACATTTTTCTCAGTGAATATTACCATGATCTTCTAGAAAAATAAAAATGTCCGCCTCATGGGAATAGTCCAAGTTGACATTCAGGGAATATTCCAGTGACATTGAGTGGATATTCAGGTGATAATGAGGGAATATTCCAGTGATATATTTTATAAAATAATGTTACTCTATGTAAAACGAAAAAAAATTCTTTCCCAGACACAACCATCGTTGGGTGGAACAAGCGAGAAATGGAGCACTCACGACAGTTCTGGACCTCCACAATACAATGAATACTACAGTCAAGAGAAAATTGAACCACATTCAACGGTGAATTATGGCTCGACGGAAAGTAGTTCCGTCAATCCATTCCACTCGACGAACCCCTTCGTCTCAGAAGTAAATATGTCCTACGTTCAGCCTTCAACGACAGATGATAATTCGTACGACGTCATGCAAGATGAGTAAATATACAAATTTCATTCTTGAATCAATTATTAAATAAAAAAGACACGAAAATGTCAAAACTAAAAAAAAAGGAAAAAGTAGAAAAAATATGTCATTAAATGAAAAGAATTGCAGGCTTGCATCTGCGAGAAGAAGCTACAATTTTAAAGGGTTCCCCCGATCATTTATAATAATTTAATTATAAATTAATCAAAAGATGACTTACTGTTTAAAAAAAATGACAATCCTTCAAATAGTCTCATCAATTTTTATCAAAATTTTTTATTTCCACAGCTAAGGGAACGTTCACAAATGATGCGACGCACTGAAAAGGAGGAGGGGGGTCTTTGCCAAACGTAACACAATGTATTTTTTCTTTTTCAAGAAAATTATATCAAAATATCGTGACAGATGGAGTAGGGGTAAAAAATTTTGAAAAAGTGTATGACATTATTTGTGAACGTTCCCTAATTTAGATTGCATCAATCTGTTAAAAATTGATCTACTTTGTAAAATAGGGTCATTTGGGGTAAATGGGGACAAAATCGCTATTTTTCACTAATCACGTAAGTTTCTTCCTTTAAAAGGTAATATTTGCGGGTTTATTTTTTTTAACTTGTTATTTACGTTCCCAGGATTAATTTTATGCAGCAGAAAAAAATTTAGATAAGCTTTAAACGCATAAAACTGACTGTCCCCATTTACCCCAAAATTTAGAAAATTTCATAAAATTTGGGGTAAATGGGGACAGCATAGTTTCTAAGAAAGTTTTAAGAAAAAAGTTTCTTAAAGTATATTACTGTACTAAGGGATAAAAAAAACTTGAAAAAAATTTGTGGTAGATATATAATAGTTAAACCAATTAAATTTTTTTTATTTTTTTTTTTATTTCAGTTATTTGTCTCGCATTTGAAAAAAAACAGACTTAAAAATCATACCAAATTTTTTTCTTATTCCTTATGACTCCTATAGCAGAAATTCATTTGAATTTTTGATTTTTGTTAATTTGGTTAATAATGACAAGCTGTCCTCATTTACTCCAAAAATTCGAAAACTCAATGTAAATGGGGACAGCTTGCCATTATTAACCAAATTGACAAAAATGAAAAATTCAAGTGAATTTCTGTTATAGGAGTCATAAGGAATAAGAAAAAAATTTGGTATGATTTTTAAGTCTGTTTTCTTTGAAATGCGAGACAAAATACTGAAACTGTTTGACATTGATTTTCAAGTTTTTATGCATTGAGCGATAACTTGAATTATCTTGCTGCCAATTGTTAAGGTAAAAGCGTGGCAATACTCAGAACCTCTTGCAGGTGATCTGAGGTTAAAATATTGACGTTGAACTTAATTTTAAAACTGAAAATTAAGCTCCAAAACCTCTTGTCCCCATTTATCACAACTGACCCTACTAAATTTTAAGACTTTGTGCATCGACTTACAAAGTCATCGAAAAACAGCTCCTATATGCTCTTGATGCACAATGTACTATTGGTATTATGTGGATAGATAATTTTAAACTATGGTACATAAAAATATGTTACAGTAAATATGTTAACTGAGAAATCTAATTATTAGTTGAATCAGATAAAAATAATTGGTCCATACAAAAACAATATTATTTAGTTAAGGTAACTAATTTTTTTCCTTTAATTAAAATTTCTGTAAAAGATTCTTTTATTCAGTTAGAATGACATTTTTTTATTAAACCATGCATATATAAAAGTATTTTTTAAATCAGTCATCTTTTGAGTCACTAAATTCGTTTCCCGTTCTTATCAAAGAACAAAATGAATTCGAGAGTTGAGATACATTGACAATAATATTAGTTAATTAAAGTGAAATTTCTCTCTCTCTCGCATCCATTCCTTAACACCTTATGACTTTTAGGCGACATCATCGACACAATGTCGTCAATAAGTCACATGGTATAACGGAAAATACAATTCTCAAAGGTATCTTTCAAATTTTGAAAGTATATATAAAATTTTTGACATCTTGAAAATTATTATCATTTTCCAAATCAAAATTTAATTCGTAGCTTTAAAAAATTTATGACATTTTAAAATATTTTAATGTAATTGTTATCAGTATACAAAGTTATTATATTATTTATAATAGCATGACATATTGCTGTTAGGATAAGGTAAGCATTCTTTAAATGCCATTTACTCTCTGAATTTGAATCAGCGAAATCTCCAATCAGAGTATATGCACTGATGAATTAGTGAAATTTCACTGATTCTTCAGCGTATATACAATGATTGGTACCAGTGGTAAACTTATTGCTGATTCAAATTTAGAGTGTAACGTTACACCGCAAGCCTTACTATCACGACAATACACGACAAAGCCTTACTATCAATTTTAAGTTCCCACACAGCACATGATATTTCCTAAATATTTCTAAAATATTTAATTGAAATTTTGAAATATTCCAATGCAAAGTCCTTTAAATATTGTTGAAATTAGGGAAATGTCCGCCTATAAGAAATACTGCGGTGTAATTTTGCTGAAATATTTCATTCACATATTATAGAAAAATTCGAACTTAAATGATGCGCACTGGTCGATTTCAGTTTCTATGCCTTGTACAGCTGCGAAGTAGTTTTTAATTTCCTATGATGATGAAAATAACGATTGATTTTATATTTTAAAAAAGTTTCAAACTTTCTTTGAAATAGTTCCTGAATATTGCAGAGTCTTCATGTGTAATATTGCAGGAGTCTTAAAGTGTAATATTTCAGCAAAATTGCACGGCAATATTTCTTATAGGCGGACATTTTCCTGTTTTCATCAAAATTTCATGAACATTGCATTGAAATATTTCAAATCTTTCAATGAAATATTCATGAAATGTTTAGGAAATATAATGTGCTGTTTGGGATTATTTTAAGTCTTGAGTTAAGTTTATACAGGGTGTTCCAAAGTATGGAAACTTGCAAATATCTTGAAAAGTACGCATTTTCGTAATACTTTTTTTTCACTGTTGGGTCCCGGAACCAATCTTTTGGCTTCAAAAATGTAGATCTTTTTTTTGGAAACAACTTTTGTTTTGAATATTTTTCACGAAAATGCGTAATTTTCGAGATATTTGCAAGTTTCCATACTTTCCCTGTATAGTTGGTGTACGGTGTAACGTTACAAACCATTCAAATATAAGCTTACAGTATTCTTCAGACAAATATCGTGCTACATTGTTAAAAAAAGGTGAATTTTTTTTCCATTCATGTAAATGAATTTTGAAGAACATTGAATGAAAATTAAGTAATAATAACTAAATTTATTATTATTAATAAACAAATTATTACCACGAACAATAGTTTTGATTTGGAAAACTTAAATTCATAATGGGAAACGATTTTTTTCTACATGAACACACACAGCACAATATATTGCTGTAAGCTTACCTAAGCTCACATATGGAAGATTCGTAAGCTTAAATTGAAAACTTCCGTAAGTTTCCCGTTTAGAAATTGCAATATTTGGCCTAAAAATGTCATGAAAAGTCTCACCCGATATGGGTAACTCAAAGCGTTGAAATGTGGCTTCATCTTGTGGCGCAAATCGGGTAAGAAGTTTCATGACAATCTTACCACAGCGGAGGCACTGTCATTGTATAAAAGGGGGACTATATAACCTTAGTTTCAGGTAAAAGGTACAGATGTCGCCGTTGTGGATCACGGTTATGCGCATGTTCAAATTTGAAAATTCAAATTATGCTTTTTTTATTTTCATGATTATTATTGTTTTATTTTATAATTTTTTGTATTCTCATATGTGGTTTACATAAAGACACAAAAATGATTAATAAAACAATTATAATCATGAAAATAAAAAGCATAATTTGAATTTTCAAATTTGCGCATGATCATAACCATGATATACAACGGCGACATTTGCACCTTTTACCTGAAACTAATGTTATATAGTCCCCCTTTTATGCAATGAAAGTGCCTCCGCTATGAATCTTACACTGATAGACCCAAGAAGACTAGAATAAGGAGGTCTAACTCAGGTAGTGAGGGTATGGTAAATATACGTATGAAATTGGTAGTTGCAGTAGGCGGATTTTCGAGAAAGACAGAGTGTTCGGTAGACTTCTGCGCATACCAATACATACAAGTTTCAGTAATTCTTGACAAGGCAACAAAAATGTATATGCATTGGTGTGCGCAGAAGTCTACCGCACACTCTGCCTTTCGGCCAACCTCGAAAACCAATTTTTTACGTACCCCCACTACCTGAGTTAGACCTCCTTATTCTAGTCTTCTTGGATAGACCTTTTGAACTGCAGCGGAACAAGGTAAGTGACAGCAGCGCCACTATGGTTTTGGTGTGCGGCGGTACAATTTTGGGAGCGTGACTGTCCAAAATGTTGGTGAGTAGCTCACCGAAGTTGTGGGGACGCCATCTTTGGTTTGTAGCTGTACAACGTTTTGGTAGCCACGCGACCAAAAATGTACTGCAGCAGCCCAAACGTATAGTCTCGTAGCTTACCAACAGAATGCTCTGCAGACGCCTGTCGAAAGTCGGCTACGGTGCAAAAGGTCTCTCAGTGTAGGAATACCAGATATGATCCCGGTTTAGGCCATGACAAAATTTTTACACGGTAATATAATAATAATAATGTATTTAAATGAATGGAAAATTCTTGTGTAGAAATTTTAACATGGACCAAACCGGGGCCAAAACACGGGTTAACATATTTGAAATATATTTTTTTTATTTTCTTTTGTAATTTTAAGACAATTTATTTTTACTCAATTAATATGACCTGAAAGCATGTTTACAATTCCTACAATCTTGACACGTTTTAACTATTTAATAATCATTTAAAAATTATAACCTCATATTTTATGTGCGGTAATTCAGTTTATACGTATGAATTTCTCTCCACACAGCACATTAATATTTCCTAAATATTTTTGAAATATTTCACTAAAGGTTTTCAAATATTTTAATGAAAAATTCTTGAAATATTGTTGCAAATCATGGGCGGTTAAATTAAATTTAATTGCTAATTAACTTTAAACCGGCGTTGGTGAAATTGTCCCGCAGTGTGTTCTGACTTCCAAAGTAAAAAAGTATACAATTAACAATAAAAACATTGTTGTTTACGGCTTTTTTACTTTGGACGACAGTGTTATATAACTCATGCACCTTAAACTTACTTAAAGTTTACAGACTAAGCTTACGAATCATCCATGTAAGGTTAAGGTAATCTTACAGCAATATATTCCCAAGTAGCACGGAATATTGCTCGAATGTCAAGGTGATATCAAGTGGGAATATTCCTGTGACATTCAGGCGATATCAATAATGTCCGCTTCATGGGGACATTCCACGGTGATATTTCTGTGATATTGAGCGGAATATTCCTCTGATATTGAGGGAATATTCCAGTGATATTGATGAGATAATTTAAAAAATTCTAAAGAAAAATTTTTTTCAATTTTTTTTTCATTTATTTATTTTTTTATTTAAATATTCTAAACAATCAACATTTTAGAATTTTATAAATAACAGGAATATTCTCTCAATAACACAGGGATATTCCCTCAATACCAGAGGAATATTCCCTCAATATCACAGGAATATTCCGTTCAATATCACAGGGATACATGCAAAAAGAAGTATCTTAATATAAGATGTTTTGGTAGTCATTTTTAAGATGTTTGGTAGTAACTTTTTAGTTATTTGAAATATCTTAGTTTAAGATGTTAATAGTATCTTCGACAAAGTGCTTCACATATTTTTGATGAAAAAAATTTTGAGGTTAACTATGGCCTCTTATGTAAGATGTTTAATGTATTTTATATTTTAGTAACTTCAAATTGTGACGTATCTTAGAATTTACAAGCATCTTTTTTCTAAACATCTTATGACTCCACAAATATCTTAATTCAAGTTATTTATAGAAACTTACCTAAGTAACTTACATTTTAAGATGGAAGAAATATTTTAATTCTTGTTAAAACTCAAAAAACATCTTAAATATTAATAAGATACTTTATAAAATATCTTTTTTTAAGATGGAAGATACCATTTTTCCATATTACATCTTATTGTAAGATACCAAGTAAGTCACTTATTTTTGCAGTGTATCCCCTCAATATTACATGAATTTCACGGGAATATTCCCTCAATATAAGAGGAATATTCCGCTCAATATCACAGGAATATCACCGTGGAATGTCCCCATAAAGCGGACATTATGATATCGCCTGAATGTCACAAGAATATTCTCGCTTGATATCACCTTGACATTCAAGTAATATTCCGTGCTACTTGGGTTGTGTTATATTTCTATAAAACGTATTATTAACAATAAAAAAATAACAGAATTATACGAAAAGAAAATAA